TAGGACTAGAAGGGATCCAAGTACATATTGATATCATAGAATGGCTCAGGCAAAGTACATTCTAAATCCAATGGACAATCTGTAGCAAAAAAAAACATTTACAAATGCTCTCCATCAATTCTGAAAAGCTTAAGTTGTTGTACTAAGAAAGGGGAAAAAAGCAAAACATAAACAACGTTGAAAAAAATGTCATTTAATACATTTTTAAAACATTACTTCCTTTTCCTACTGTTCACAAAGATGAAGGCTTTCTATATAAAATCCCAGTAAAAGCCTTAGAATTAACAAAAAAAAATTAAATACATCTTTTTTTAAATCCTTCCTTCATACGTCACAATGAATCAACTGAAAACAACAAGCTGCTGCGACTCGCACGCTCTCGCTTATCTGCTCTAACGGGCTCAGTAGGCCACATACTGCATTACAGCCCGCAACAGTGATGAACTCACAGCCTGCAGCTGCTCCCACTGATCCCATTCGTTAAGTGGGATTTGGGCTGAGTTGACATGACGACATAAAAAGAGGAGCAGAGAAGTGGCCTTTGTTTCAGTGAAACGGTTAAGTCATGTCTGTGAATGAAGTTAAAACAGAGGCTCTTTATCCCATAGTGACATGAACAGTAAGTAACCTCAGCAAGCCTCATTACATCCAGCAACGGGAAGAAGGATCGAACAAAAGCAAAAGCATCATAGGTGGGGATATGATGTTGTAATAGGATGCTAAGCAACGGAGACGCATAGAGGATTTCTTTGATTTAAGCGAAACTAAAGTTTGCGCTTAAAGGGAGATTGTGCACCACAGTGACAAAGATAAAAGGCTGGAATCAAAGCACAGCAGGGGGGAAGTGTTTGCAGCGCTTCCTGACTCCATGCCGAAGCTAAACGAAATGTAACAAGAGAACACAGATCCAGGTGATGTAGGATGTTGACAAAAGGATCACTGTGTACACTGTGCCCAAAGCCAAGATCAACGTTTAGTAAACAAACCAGGAAGTTTAAGTTGGGCTTTGCAAACAATCCAGGGCTTCAATACGCATCCAGATCACAGAGAAAAAAAAACATGTTTTTCTTTAAAACATAAAAAATTATCCTCATAATTTTTCAAAGTGTTTAACTAGGCATCCCAGGGACAAAGATGGATCCTATTTTAAATGGGAACAACAAAATAGCCCCAAAAAAGAATTTGTAGCATTTATTTGTCATTAAAAACACTGATTTGGTGGAAATGATGCAGAAAAGCCTGAAAACAGAGTCCCCATGTTTAAACACAGCGTTGGCAGCATCCTGTTATGGGATGCTATCTTTCAGCTGGTTGAAGTTAGCCTCGTGAGATCATCCTGATTTTGCGAGCTTTCAAGGTTTCACTCGCAAATCAGTCTTAAGACTCTCCTTTAAAAAATTTGGAGCCGTTCACCAAACGAACGTCCAATCAGCGTTGGCTTTGAGGAGAGTTGAGGTGTGACGCAACGAGAAGCGCAACAGTTCAGTCTAAAGAACATGGCGGCTTCAGCCGATGAAACTAGCGTTAGCGTGGCTATCGAGCAAGTTTTATCGGAATTACAGAGTATTTCTTCACTGAAAGAAGAGCAAAACACTGCTCTGGAGGCTTTTCTCAGAGGAAAAGATGTTTTTGTTCTTCTCCTGACTGGTTTCGGCAAGAGTAGCCTGGCTGTTAGTACGTCATATGCTTCGTTGATCTGATTGGTTTATTTGGCCCGTCTAACCAGTATTTTCGCCCCTTCCCAAAATTACTTCAACGGAAGGTTTCCAGATGGATATGCGGAGCAAATCCATCTGACGGAGTCAGGTTAGGTTGAAGTAGCTTTTGATTACACTAATTTCTAGTTAGAGTGAAATTTACTAAGTTCATTCATCTGTTGCCGTTTCCATTAAGCTCTTCTAATGGGATACTACAAATTGTTCTCATGTCTAGAGCCCGTTGTGTTGATAAAAAGGGCAAGTGCTAACTTCTATCTCAGATGCATCTTCTTTAAGATATATTACATTTGACAGATCCTCTGGTTTGGATCAACTCATACCTGCATCACTATCAACAGTCTGTTCCTTACGTGTAGTCATTCTGATTTCGGCATAATAGAAAGAGGTGTGCCCCAGGGTACCTATCTTGGACCTTTTATTTTTCCAGTTTTTTAAAATGACCTTCCTCTTGCCTGAATGGACTGTAATATTCACCTATATGCCGATGATACTGTTATTTATTGCTTAAAACCTAGCATTTATATATTCATATTTCTCTTCAATATGATTTTGTAAAAGTAGAAATTTGCCTTCAGTCCAACATACTGCTACTTAATAAAACAAGATCTCATTAAATGTTTTCAGAGGAAAAAGTCTGTACCTACTCGGGTACCTCACCTGTCTTGTTTAAATGTTTTGCCTTTTTTGGCTTGACTCTTCACTTTCTTTCACTTTTCCTATTCATACTGTTACAAATAAAGTTACATCACTGGAAAAAATCAAAACCTAGATGAGTCATTTTTTTCTTAAAATAAGTGCATTTGTTCTTGAATTGAGAAGGTAAACAAGACATTTTGCCAATGGAACAAGACAATTTACATTTAAAATAAGAAAACGCAATTGCATTGTCCTATTTCAAGTGCATTTTATCTAAATATCTTATTTTAAGAGTAAAAATACTCGTTCTATTGGCAAATCATCTCATTTACCAACTCAAAAAAAGGGTAAATACACTTAATTTGAGAAATTTTTACATATTTCTTGATCGTTTTTCCAGTGTATTGTTTGAATCTACTTTATCATTCAATTAATTACTTAACTTTTTCAGTAAGGAGATAGTTACCGAGTTATAACTCTGACACAGCAGTTTTATTTATACCATAATACTACATTTACTAATCTCCAATCAGTTAATGTTGTATATAACAGTCTACGCAGGTTTATTCCCTGTTTCCCTTTCAGAACTGACTATTGTCTGCTGTACCAACTGTGTTGTCACACTCCATCTTCCGGATGCCAATTTCACTGGTTATCATTTATATTTAAGTGTATTAATCTTAGTTATCCTTAATATTTAAAACACTTCTTTATGTTTTCCTTCACATATATTATTGGGCATTCAACTAAAAGCTTTTTTTGTGGTTTCATGAATCAAAAAGTTCTCTTTTAAATATAAAGCAACCTTTGGAACAATCTCCCATCCTCTCTCCGCTCCATAACCTGTTAATGTGTTTAAAAATGGACTGGTTCATCATTTACAAAGTATTTGTAACTTTTATAAACTGTTGCAGCAGTTTAGAGCTTTAAGTGTTGGATAGTTAGATTGATTGGTTGTGTCTATGGTGATGCTGTTAGGTTTCGTTTATATGGATGTTTCAGAGATGCACATGATGGTACATCTGTATTTTTCATCTGATTGCTGTTTTCTGTTTATATTAGGACCCCCTTGAAAAATAGATTTTTCATCTCAATGTGCTCCTTTGAAATAAATAAATAAGTTGTGCATGCATCCCTTCTCTGTGGCTGCAAACCCACTTTAAGTGAATTACTGCCACCTGGAGTGAGAAAGTAAGCGTCCTACTCCTTAAATGTAGCAATACCAAACATTGGGTGTCTCTGTGACTTGAAGATCTTTTTTTTACATGTTAATTACATATATAATTTTATAAGATCAAGATTTTGAACATTTTAGTAGAGTTTTCTGTCCGATGCATCAAATTAAACAGACTGGCAGTGTGTAACAGGGCAATTTCATATGTTTTGGGGCCTAACTGTGTAGAGTCTATTAGAAAGTTGTCCAACCAGATCTCCTCTGAACCAGCAGGCCGCCCTTCACCAGCTGCCCGGAGCTCATCATTAGACTAATGGACGTTTGATTAATGTAACATGCCAGCAGGGCTCATATTAGTCAGATCTGCTGGTCGAAGGAGGGACATTAATAATATAATCAGCAGGCAGGCTGGTGGTCTTGCTGTGTTTTCTTTATGGTTCCTTTTCACTTCAATTTGAGACGATATGCATCAATTACACTTGATCAATAAAGATCTGAGTGATGACTATTTCATCTCGCTATAAACAGCCTCTTAAGGATCTCTGGGGGTTCTGGCTTTTCCGTCCCTGTCAGAGGACACATGTACAGCATAGGTTTGACGTTTAAGACTTCAGCAGAGGGGAGCTGAAACATGCAGATCTGAAACTGATAAATGCATCACTCCATAGTTTGCTTATTGTTACACATTTCTAAAGCAGTAAATAAGGAAAAAACAAATGATGTTACAGTTGACTGGTAAAATTTTTTTCATTTTTTTCTTCTTTAGAAAAGAAAATGTAATATTTTGTGTAAACACCATATAAATGTGATACATTTCCTCTATTATTCTGTGTGAATCTCAGAGCAGCCAATGCCTGACTAATAGAGCATTGACAGGCGGCAGATATAATTCACTTTTCCATGCATGCTTGGAGCAAGCAGTTTCCAATATCCCAGCTTTAAGAGGATTGGGAATTCCAACCTGGCAGTTTCTGCTGAATAAAAGATCACAGCTGGAGGGGTCCCATGCTGGTCAAACGCTGTGTGCTCTCCACAAAGGTGGGGTAATAGCAACTTCAGAAATGACCGGGGGGTATTTTGCTCTATTCCTGTGAGAAAAGGCATGCTTGAGAAAGACATGAGAGAAAGAGTGCATCCCCAATCCCAACTCTCAAATTGAGCTGAAGGATTAGGTTTTAATCCTCAACAAGAGATTCAGCTAAATCTGCAGTAAATGGCACATTTATACCATTTTACTAAACGGTTCTGTTTTCATTCTCCTTTTTGAGGGTGTAAGAGACACTTTTGTTTTAACCCATTTAGGACGACACTAACGGTTCTACGCTGAGGGATTAAAGTTTATAGGGAAAAACAAAACATGTATGAATTACAGCAAAAAACAACAACACAATTTTCTGCAAATGGAAACAATTTACAACTTTTTAATAACAATATACAATATTTTTTTTTATTTAACCAGGTTCATGTCTTACCTTTGATGTTTCTCAGAAGCCGCACGGTTCCCAATCACAGTGAGGCCCTGAAAATAAAAACAAGATGATCACCAAACCTGTGAGAGTAAAGTGATTCCAGATTCTACAGCATATAATGCAGTAAGGGTGTGCAAAATAATCGTCGCGGTGACGCGGTGCTTTGTGTCACAAGCATGTCGATAAGTGGGATACTGCGACGAGTAATATGAAACAAAACAAGGAGGACACTATGAAATCACATTTCAAGTCAGATGATTGGATGCATTTTGGCTTTAAAAACAAAGAAGGTAAAAATGAAATTGATATGATGCACGTCATTTGCAAAAGTGGAAATATACATTTGAATGTTTTCGTTTCATTGGTTTAAAGGACCACTGAGGCCATGTAAACGGCACTGATTATCCTTATTTTGTTATTTTAAGTTTGATGAATCCTAAGATCTTTTTGTCAGTGTGTCCACGCCAGTAATAGTAATATTTCTGTCCAGTATTTGTTTCCATGGCAACACCACCAAAAGTCATTTCAATAAATACAGCTATGTATGAATTCAGTTGCTTTCAGTTATGTATCAATTGAAGACACTATCCAGATCATACCCAGCCAGTCAGCCACTGGTAAGAGCTGTATCTTTTTCTTACAGTGTTCAGTGAAAATATCGCAATATTTCAAGTATCGTGATGCATCGTGATAGAGTTGCATCATGGCATGGGAATCGTGATTTGAATCAAATCATGACTTCTTTGCCAATACCCACCCCTATAATGCAGTTAGCTGATGTTATGAAATACACAGTTCAGGTTATAATGATCAGTGGCTCTGCTTTTATCTGCAAAAATGAATAAAAAAAATTATAAATCATTAAAAATAAATACAAATTCCCATTGCCTTTATCCTGGTTGTGTGTTAAGGGTCTATATTTTGTTTTAATGTGAACCTTCAGCCCATGTCTCAGCTTGTTTATAAAGCCTCCGACAGGTTTTACACTGGGAAAAATCGATATCTGGATAAGTAAATTATTTCTTAAAATAAGGGTGTTTTTTCTTGAATTGAGGAGGTAAGTAAGACACTTTGCCAATGGAACCAGACAATTTACATTTAAAATAATAAGAAAAAACTATTTCATTGTCTTATTTTAAGAGTAAAAATTCTCATTCCATTGGCAAATCATCTTATCAACCTACTCAAATCAAGGGTAAATACACTTAATTTAAGACATTTTGACTTATTTCTAGATCGTTTTTGAAGTGTCTTATTGGGTGCATCAAAGAAAGAAATACTCCCACATTATGATGCTCCCACCACTTCCAACTCTCACCAAGGCTGAGCAATGAGCACCTTCCATTTGGTTGTTGTATCCCCTCTTGTGTAACTGTAAATGAGGGGTCCCAGAGGTTTCCTTTCAAAGAATGCACCCCACCCATCTTTGCACTGCAAAAACGATCTATAAATAAGTAAAAACTTCTTAAATTAAGTGTATTTATCCTTATTCTAAGTAGGTAAATGAGATAGTTTGCCAATGTAATGAGTATTTTTACTCTTAAAATAAGATAATTAGAGAATATGCACTTGAAATAAAACAATGCATTTGTGTTTTCTTATTTTAAGTGTAAATTGTCTTGTTTCATTGGCAAAATGTCTCTTTTACCTCCTCAATTCAAGAACAAATGCACTTATTTTAAGAAAAAATTACTTATCTAGATTTCGATTTTTTTCCAGTTTGCTCCTTATTAAAGCCTATACAAAAACATATAGTTTCTCCTCCCCCTCATAACCATAGTCCTCTGTGTCAATCCATCCCATAAGATCACAAAGCCTGGCTTTAGAGTGGCAAATGTTCAACTGAACATTCCTGCTTACAAAAGTTTTAAACAGAATTTGCTCTGAGAAGCAAATATGTATCACTGTGAATTGTCTTAGAAGATTAATGAATCATTTCTGTGCGTTTCATCCAATTTTCTTTAATGTTTGCAAAAGATCTACTTTGCATTCTGTGCTAGACGTGTTGCTGGGGATTAAGTCGGGCTCTCAGGCTTTGCAGAGAATAAATATTAGTAAAGCATTGTGCTGTAATGTGATCATCAGTGAGGTGCTACAGCAGCAAACCCTGCACTGATGAAAACAATCTCCTCTTATAAACACTGCTCAAAAAATAAAGGGACCACTCAAATAACAAAACATGGATTCAAATGAAAGAAATATTCTCATTGAATGTTTTTTAACTTTGTTTTGTATAAAATTGAATGTGCTGACAACAGAACTCAACAAAAATCAATGCCTGGGTATGCTTCTGATGAGGTGGTGGATAATCCCCTGAGGGATCCCCTCCCAGACCTGGACTAAAGCACCTGCAACTCCTGGACAGTCTGTGTTGCATTGTGATGTTGGTGCATGGATCAGATTCAGGTCTAGGGAACGGGAGGGCCAGTCCATAGCTTCAATGCCTTCTTCTTGCATGAACTGCTGACACATTCCAGCCACATGAGGTCTAGCATTGTCCTGCATTAGAAGGAACCATGGGCCAAATAATACTACTTCAGCGATAGTATCTAGGTGTTACTTTATTGTATGTCTCGTACCATGTCTCTTTGATGAAGGTGATAAAGCAGACTTTTATCTCCTCTTTCTTTCATCTTTTCTCCTTTTTTTCTGTTTTTCCTCTTCTGTTCTACTTACATTGCAGTGCCCATATAAACTGTAAAACTCCCTGCATAATTATAATAAAGCAATTTGTATGCATGAAACAAGCGGAACACTATGGCAATAGCCCTACTCCTCTACTTGTGAAAGTAAAATCTGTTGGGCTCTTTTTTAGCCTGGGTGCCATTCCAAACTTAGTCCCGCCCACAACGTTTGAGGTCGGTAAGTTCGGTCTGGCATTGCTCAATAGTAGCGCGAGTATGCTCGCCCAATATCTGGCGATCCAATCAAATTGTCAGGGCGGGCTTTATACGATGATGGACAGATGATCAACAGTAACGTAATCAACCACGTCACCAAAGCGCGCTTGGGTGACAACAACAATGGCTGCCGCTGGAGAGTTGAGGCGTGTAGATTCTGCTATTAGGTCTGTTCTAGAATATATCGACAGCAAATAAATGTTATCCTCAGGTTCTTTTTGCAACACCGGCAAAAATCGTTCACGCTCATCTTCTTATTCTAGGCGTGCAACTGCACGCTTTGATTTTTGTTGACAACAACTATGCCTCGCTTAACATACGTCTCGCACTCCGTTGCTCTTATTGGTTGTAGGTCTATCCAATTGAGTGCAGAGGCATTTTTTTTCCTGGTTCGTTCAAAACACGCCCCATAATTACAGCTCTATGGAGCAGCATCAGACTCATATTCTGACTAGAATTAATTAGGACTGCGTCAGGCTAGCTCTTTTTGGCATCAAGACAATTATTCTTATTGCCACATTGCCAGACAGGACACTGTAAAAAAAAAAAAAAAAAAAAAAAGAAAGAAAAAGAAGGAATCATGGGCCAACCGCACCAGCAGATGGCCTCACAAGGGGTCTTATCTCGGTACATAATGGCAGTCATGCTACCTATGGCAAACACATGAAGGGCTGTGCGACCCTGCATAGAAATGCCATTCCACACCATTACTGACCCACTGCCAAACCTGCCATGCTGAAGGATGATGCAGGCTGCAGATAGCACCCCATGGTGTCTCCAGACTCTGTCATGTCTGTCACATGTGCTCAGTGTGAACCTGCTTTCATCTGTGAAGAGCAAAGGGCGCCGGTGCACGGTGTTGGGCTATGAACATAACCCCTATCTGTGGACGCTCATACCATCCTCATGGAGTTGGTTTGTGCAGAAACATGCATATTTGTGTCCTGTTAGGGGACATTTTGAAGGGTTCTGGCAGTGCTCCTACTGTTCCTCACTGGACAAAGGTGGAGGTAGCAGTCCTGCTGCTGGGTTGTTGCCCTCCTACGGCCTCCTCCACATCTCATGGTGTACTGGCCTGTCTCCGGGTAGCACCTCCAGCTTCAGGACACTATACTGACTAGGTGTCCAAATAATAATCGTTTTGTATCGATGCATCGATCCAACAGCCGACGATTCGATGCATCGATACGGCCACAAGAATATCGATTCATGTATTTTTTTTCCTCCGGTCTATTTTTATCCATTTGCTCCTGGGCGTAATTCTCTCTCCCGTGCTGCGGTGGCGCTAAACCTATTTTGCCCTCCTACCTCGCTTCCTGGTTATACTCTTACAGCAGTGTGTTGCAGTGAGCTTGACACAGACATTTTTGATTTATGCTTAATATTGAAGCATGGTCTGTGCTACACGCTGTGGGTCTAGATACGGCCGAGGCGGCGAGGAAGTGGGGGCGAGTTTAGTCCAACGACGGAGGGACATGAGGGCCAAAAAGAGCGAAGATCCAGGTGGAAAAAGGGTCCCAGCGTTTTCGCGCACCTCGCTCTTCTAGCGGGTCAAACTTCACGAGTTGTTTTCCGCAATTTCGGTCATAAAAACAAAACAAGCCGGCCTCCTGTCTGCGGTCAGCTACAATTTGGGAGAGGTGCAGCGGAGCGTCTGTGGAGGGGGCGGGGAAGTCTGGAGCCGAGGTGTTGCATTGCACTCATTGCACTGATTTTTGCAGTATTTTTTGATGCAACTTTTCTACTTCTGTTATTTGCTGTTGTTTCAAAAAAAAAAATGCATAACAATATTAGAGTTTTCATTGATTTATTTCAAACTTGAAACTTTGTTTAGCCTGTAAAAAAAAAAAATGAACCAACTAATCGAATCGTATCATGGTGTATTCTTGAGTATCGAAAATAATCGAATCGTTGGGTCAGGAAATCGATACTGAATCGAATCGCCATCGTGGATGTGATTTACACCCCTAATGCTGACAGACACAGTGAACCTTCTAACCACAGCTCGCATTGATTCCATTGAATCTGAGCGACTTGTGTGGGTTGCAGAGTCCGTCTCTTGTTACCACGAGTGTTAAAGCACCAGCAACATCAGCATCAGCCAGAAAAACTAGATATTGAGAAGTGGTCTGTGGTCCCCACCTGCAGAA